CTGGTAATTGAAAACTGTCCTTTAATCTGTATCAGGATAAAATGTATGTTATTAATAAATGTCCTTGGAACAATTTGAGTTTGTCTTGAATAAAATATAGTTCATCGAACAAAACCTATCTAACTTTAAATCAGCTCTAGGTGAATTATAAAATTACATTTTTATTTTTATCGCCTTACTAAAGCATGTCATTAATCAATAAATTGTAAGAGCAACATGCATTTGATGATGTTATGACGTTTATGGTCCAAGTTATATAACTCATAAAATTAATGTAACACATCTACAACGTTATTACGGTGGAATTTGACATAAAGGCACTTTTTATTTATGTTTCCGATTGGTAGACGCCAGACGGTTTGCAGGTTTAAGTCGGTTTTACTAACAAGTAGATAAACTAATTTAATAATTGACATAAGGAGAAGATCAATGTTGTACAAAGTGACTAGAGTGGTTTCGGAATGGCTATAGAGACGTGACCAGGGTGCAAAATGAAATCGACCGAAAGTACTGTTAATAATTGATACTGAAATATATGTGTTGGACCGAGAAAAGTCAGTCTTGTAAGATGTACACCGGTTGTGTGAGTAGATGAAGATCACTGCAAGCCAATCCGTCGATGAAATTTAACCGTTTGAAATGCATCGCAGGTCAAATCAATCCAATTTATTGCTATTTTTTTTTTTTTAATCCAAATACTAAGTAGTTTTATGTTGAAAATGGCATGCGATTCCTTGCACGACCGGCTGTGGCGTTTTGCGACAAACAATTACACATGATAATATATTTTTATCCAAACCGACATAGCCGAGGAAGCAAGCCGAGCATTGCTTAAGCGCGCACGCGTTGTCGGCCAGAGGATATATTATTATGTTTAAAGGCACGTAGTTTACAAACTGTGTGTGTTCGCCTTTGAACGACCAAACTTTTGTGGAGACACCGTCTTTTATTACCCGAGGCGTATAGGTGGTACCGGCACTCAATATGGTCGCGTCACATGTGTCTAAGCACATTCCCGAATCCGGTAAACTAACCATCAGAATAAAACATTACAAAAGCAATAGGCAGAAGAAGAAGAAGTATTTCAAAATTACTTTATTTTCCAAAATTTAGAAAAATCAGAGAACAAACAGCAGGTTTAGAATACCTGTATTGAAGTGCTGTGTGCTGTGAATTGATTGGCAATGGACAAAACTAAACAAATATAGGTCAGCTGTTTTGTTCCAGACGAACGGTCTGCGTCCTACGATTTAACAATAAAATAATGATAATACAATTAATAATAATTGTGTTTATTGATTTGTTTTGAATTTATACCTTTCAATAGCCGTCAGGACGGATCAAGGCGAGTACAACGCGAATAAATTATATTTTAATCACTTACGGACAGGTACCTTTCTTTGTCGGCAAGATATTTAAATTATTTATATATATTTATTTTTCAACCCTTTTTCTACCCAAGAAACCCTTTAATTATACGCTGACGGTCTGCACGCTTTTATTATATATATATATAGATAGATATACTACAAAACTGTATAGATTCCAATCGATTCGAAACGAGGCAAACGAGGACTAATGGATTATACTATTATAATATACTTATATACAGGCAACAGTATAAAGGACTTATCGGTGGCAATACGGATCCGGTTAATGCGGTAAAATATACAATGTTTGCCCATCGTGCTAATGCGATGACATATTTCTGATAAACATGTGTGTAAATGTGTGCTATAGTTATTATGAAATCCAAAAATACTACATAATATTGATTATATGGTACTATTATAATATACTGTCAACAAATGCTTGAAACTCTATATACATATATCATTAAATTATAAAAAAAAACATTGTATGTAAATGTTTCATTGCAGGTCGGATCAATTTGTTTTTGTAAAAAGTGTTACAATTTATTAAAAAGTTAAATTTATACCACGTCAAGCGGTAAAGTAAATCCATTAAAAGTAGTCAGAGCTGTGCGAAGGCGCATTAGTGTGTTTTAAGTGTTAGGAAAACACTTAAGTCTATTTAAATTTATAATAATATTTTTTATTTACTAGGTCGTAAGCAATAACCCAACCCGTTTAGGGATTACCTAAGTACAACCTTAAAAAGTTAACTTATTTTTAAAATACCTTCTCGCTTTGCATCGAGGCTAAAAAAATAATGAATAGGGTTAATATAAAACCTTCAGTTTAAGACGTCACAAACAATCGGTGTTATAAGAGCTTACCACGCAAAATATATTTATTGTATAATATACTGTCATAAAACGGCAAATGATCTCAGTATATCTATACAAGAGAGCCGTACATTTTCTACGACCAAACGAGGTTTGTGTTTGGAATATAAAAAAAAACAGTAATCTATTGGTCAATAAAATATTTATGGTTAATATATACAGAGTTTTTAGAATACACAAAACGGGATAGTTTTTTTCATGAGATCAAAAAGAAGGCCAAAGTTAAAAATTATTACTTTGCACTTTGTTCACTGTCTATGTGTATAAATCCTTTGTATAATTACTCAAAGATCTTCGGCACCTTTCAAGTTGAAAACGAAATGGAAATATCTAACGTTCAACAATGGAAAAATTTTAAAAAGTCGTGGTCAAAAAATAGCCTAAAAAACAATCTTTATGTAATTGTTGAAATGAGTTATACTTTTATACTTAATGTTTAAAAAATGTTTTATACTTTTTTTTTATAGAATAGCAGATTTTAAGAGATAAATTATTTGAATTATGAACAACAATGTTTGAAATAACACAATAACATTGCAAACAATTCTAAAGACCCTAACTGTGGCCCGTATATAATATTCATAAAAATAAACCTTACAGCGTTCATGCAAGTAACATCAGTACGATTACAACAATGTCACAATACAATAAAACCAACATATTATATTGTTATACATGTAGAAAACATTATTTTATATCGAATAAAGCGTAGGTGTATTTTATATTTGATCTCATAAAAAACGTTTTATGTACAATTTTTTTTTATATGCATACTTTCAGTGAAAATGTTTTTCTGGCACATTTGGCAAACAGCCAAGATAGATGATTTAGTTTTTATTGAAAATTGAAAAATTATGTTTTAGGATATAAATTTTATTTTCTGTTCAGAATATATACATTACAATAGCTCTGTCGAATATGAACTTCAGATTTAGTCAAATAAAAAACATTCCATTATGAATACAGGTCTACTCGAGTAATCGAACCCCTTATTAATTATGCATTGCCGAAATTGTCATGGGGGTGGCAACCCATGTCCCACAAGGGTTAACCGTTCAGAACTAGTCTACTCTTGGTGATTTATAATACATATACTTTTTGTGTACTTTTAAAGAATTACTATGGGTTTTATGGCGATTATTATATTGCTATTAACTTGGCATCAAACGACAGAACTGCTTCTATATTGTCATTTGCTATGAAGTAAATTAAAGGTACTAGAAACATACTGTTGTGCATATTATTATAACTGAATATATAAACATTTTCGTACTGACACGTGGCACGGACAGTTTATGTCTGCAATTTTGCTTGGAAACAGATTTTAAAACTAGTTAAGAAAACTTGTACAACTTCAAAGTTGTAAGTACAAGTCGCTTTTGTGATAAACAGAAAAGATAAGTGGTTTCGCCCGCGAAAGTAGTGCACATATTTTGTTCATTGCGAGAAATTAGTTTAAATATGTTTGCTGCTGAATAGCTTGTCCAAAGAGCTCCGGTTGAGAGGATAAGAAAGTAGTAAGATGAATTTCCAGGCAAGTACGTAACGAGACAAAGAAAAATCCGAAAGCTTTAAGGGCGCTTTGTCAGAAACTAAAAAAAAAAGTCGTTTGTAGCGTCGCCCTCGAAAGTAGTGCAACTCGAATGGCCCCATCACTGTGACATTATCTGCTGTAAAGAAAATCGTTTACAGCTCAGACAACGAAAAGACCAAAAAGTATATGTTCGAGATAAGATTTGAAGGAGTAACGTAACCTGAACCGACGCACACATAAACAGTTTTGAGTCTACTCGTTTATTAGCTTAGATTTACACCCCATCTAGTCGGTCAGCCCAATCTAACAGCTTAAGTACAACAGCCGATTTAGGATTGTTTTTTTTTTTTTATCACAATAACTGCACCGTGCCAATGATGGGTTTTCGAGAAATGACCATAATATAAGATACTGAAACGTCACGATTTCCCGTGGTCTCAATATTGCCCCGACAACTTGATTATAATATCAATGTTCGGCCAAGCGGGTACACATCAAGACACATCTGAACGCCTTCCCTCGTGACATACCCTAAGGGTATTCATTTTATATTAAAACCCGAGGCCGAATCCAACTGATATCTATGAAAATCATATTGTAGGGAACGTTGTTGGGAAAATGTAATTTCAATATTAGCTCAATAGGTTTCATGAGCAAACCTATAAGACTTCCAATACTGTTTGATACACTAAGGAAAATACCAGTCTGTCCGCAACTAATAGAGTCGACGTTATCATTTTGAATTCGATTTGAACCTCAAATAGAAAGAAAAAAAAACGCTGTCAGCTCATTTCTGATGTGTCAGATGAGTATACATGAGATGTGGATACTATTGGAAATAAACTCCATCATGCACACATGTAATATTGTTGTGTACACACACATACATATATACAGATATACTAATATATATATATATATACACCGATGACGTCTAAAAACCGAATCGATAATATTTTGTTGTAACTTTTCCCTTAGAAATCATAAAACGGTTTAAACATCTGTGTGAAGACATTTTCAAGTAAATATGATTATTTCATGTACTATAGTATAGACATGGATAATTAGCAACTAGTAACTAGTTTTTAATCGTTATGATGCTAATTGCAATAGACATCACAAAGCCGGTACTACAATGATTTATCTCAATTACTGGAAAAAAATATTCTTAAGACAAAATCGCTGCCGTTGTTGTATTAATAAAAAAACAAAGTTTACCTGTTAACAGCATCAGACCCAGCACGCAACACCAGCTTGTCGACAACGAGACCCAGACCCTCATTTTGTTCCTCTGGCGCTCCCTCTTCTATTCTGCAACAAAATCCAAACAGGAGATATATTAACAAACTTCTTGCCTAAATCAATTGTTTATCCATTAGTCCCTTTTAGACTATCCGACTGAAATTCCCCGTTAGTTACACAACCGTTTAGAATGACTTTCTATTTGAATTCAAAAGGTAGATCAGGTTGGGCACGGTAATTATTCATAAACTTTGAGCTTTGAGAAATCGGACCAGCCAACTTCAACTATGCATCTTTTAGGCGATGATAATACAAATAACTATTAGGTGTCTTAGCCCTTTCAGACCGCATATTCTATTCGTAACCGATGGACTATTTTGTCCAAATTTTGCAGGCCAATACAATCAACCAGCGTCAAATAAGGTCGGTATTTCTTTAACATAATACTGTATATAAATACATTGTAGGTACAACGTTTAAATGCTAAGAACACACGACTGAGAATTCAGATTGACTGTTGCCAAGTGGTTAGGATAGGTTAGGTTAGGACATCATTGGGGTAGTTATGACATATTATTCTCACTGCTCGACGAATAGACATCATCAAGTCAACTGTCGACACATGCATTGTTAAAACGAATCGACATGTACAGCTAAGTTCTAGCGCACGCCTTCCGTGTGAGTCTGACTTGAAAAGTAAATAATTAACAACGCGTGAGGAGATGTCAGTTAACAGTTTGTGCACAGATTTATTATCAGCTGGAGTTCCGTTAGCAGGACTAAATAACATCACTGACACAGTCTGTGCAATGATAGAGTATGAGCACATTACACAACTCTCAGACTGATGTTTGTTTTATTCAATTTTCAACCATGACCGGTCGTGTATGTACATTTTATATACAAATACATAATATGTATATGGTTCTGTTTTAAAAATGTCCAGTAATCTGTTCGGCTTACCCGGCTAAATTACACACGGATTCGCACACACCTGTTGTGTAGACTAGTGTTATATAACACTATACATATATAGATAGTGGCTGTTATTGATTTTCAACAAGACCGACGTGCATTGCATGTTTTTTGAAAATAAAATCAAATACCTAATAGCGTTTCGGAAAAAACATGTTGCGTGCCCGGCAAATCCTTCTGTTGTTTCAAAATATTTCCCGGTGTAATCAGGTGAAGCCACTGATCGAAAACTATCTATCCAGGCCACCTTTGAACGGAATCCATCTATGAGTTCCTCTCGGTCGTGTACTTGGTACAAAAGACGGAAAATGTCTTATCGCTGTGATATAATGACACAAAAATTTAAATAATAATCTTGGCTCGTGGGTAAAACCGTTGAACGAATTGGGACGTTTGTCAGTACAAATTACAGTATTTTAAATTAAAGTATGAGACATATCCGTTTCTTTAATTAAACTCTCTTATCTCTATTTTAGGCCAACGAGAATTAAACTACTTTTCGTTGAACACCATTTTCGTTAAATGAACAACGGTTTTGGAATAAAAGGGTATGACATTTTTTGGATGTACATAATATATACTTATTTTTCATCACAATTGTAATTTAATAATTACCAGTGAAAAAGTCTAATTAAAAATAATTTTCGGTAGGACGTTTACTTCTTAGCATAAATTATTAAGTTTGTTTTGACTTATAACCTTTCTCGTTAAAACCATCACAAAATTACCTTTGCATAAGTTGCTTATCATTGAAGTTTGGCCTTTTTAAAAATATAAACGTGCCCTTGGTGTACAAAATTTGTACTTAGATATTTATACTACATAATATACATATATCTTACAATCGCAGGCGACATAATTAATTGTGAGATACGATCCTGCGGTATAAGTCTAAGCCCGACCAAAATAAATCAAAATATACAACATTTTCTTCAGAGAACAACAATTAACGACGACCGTGTATAAGAACTATGTACGGTGTGTTTACAATAAGTAATTACACGACGGTTGAATGCGAAACGGCGACGGTAAATTAAGTTTTGTTTTTTTCACGCTACCATTAGAATGGCCATCTAGTGTTGAAAGGACAGTATTATAAGGGTCGAAATGGATTTGAATATTTATAAACCGCAAAAACCTGGGTGCGGCGTTAAGCGTGGCAAAAAAAAAAATCCCACCCTCGCACTCGGCTAATACTAATTTGAATACTACACTGACGAACAAAAACCCCAACTCACCGGGGTGGTTTATAATTGATATTCCGGCAAGAGTAAGCCGGCAAACAGGTGGACCGATTTACCTTTGTACTTTCTGTGCAACGTCGCAGTTTATAACTATATTATACCCAATCCCTGTAAGTTTAGCTCGCAAGTTTTTTCCTAGACTATTGAAACAGATACGGACGGTTGTTGTAGACACACGAGCAAATGTCAAGTGTTCGCATCCCTGTACAGAAGAAGGTATTGAATTAGAAGTTTTAACAAAATGGAATGTGCAAGAGTACCTACTCGAGAAATTGTACACGTGGATTCGAGTGGAAAGACTAGACTATGTGCACATACTGTTCACTATAGTGTGTATTGTAGTGTGTACTACAATATGTATGAAGGGTAAAGTGGAAAATAAGAACAGCCCCAAGGCCAAACGGTGCACGTAAATCGAGGTGGACGTGCCCACCAATCGTTTCTTCACCGTCCATGACTTGTCTTAGTTAACGCTAATGGACCGTCTTGATGCTCGCCTAATGTGTCAAGTAGCATATAAATGATAAATGGAAATCGAAAGGATGTTTGAATGGCAAATGTAACAATATATGTATATAATGCAGTGTTTACATTTTTAGCATGATACTAATAAAGCACATTTGGATCGAGGTGGTCACAGGTTTACAGGAATTAAATCAATAATCGAATGAGATAAAATCACTTAAAAATAAATTCATGGTTTAAATTAATTTGATGGATTGCAGTAAATACAAATGCACAACGTTAGCTGTTATTCTATACTTGCCTGTCGGCGCTGATATCGAACATAATAATATTAAATTTGTATAAATACCACGTTGAATGATTGCAAAGGTATTGTCATATTGTATTGGAATGAATATATTCAAACAAATAGTTTCATACATGCCACTCAATCCTAGCCATCGTAATATAGTTACATAGTATAAGCTTGTGATGGTCACTATACAAACCGTAATGAACCGAAATGAATATTGGAAAAGTTTTGCCCGAGTTTGAGCACACTTTTATTTTTCTTTGCATTGCCACCCGACAACTTTGCCACCGTCGGAAGACCGTCATTTTCTTACTTGTTGGCCATAATATTATTGTACTGAACAACCTGCGGTAGCTAGATTGGATGAAACTAAAAGTAATCCGTGGCGAATATCCCACTCTAATATTGATACACATGTTGGTGTACATGGGATGGTCCAATTTAAATTCTGTGAGGAGATTCGAGTGGTGACAAATTTTTATCTGCATTCTTTATTGCAAAAAAAAAACAATTATAAACGAATGTCAAACGCACCATTAAATTTATGATAAATATTTATGTAAAAAACGTCACGTGCTAATTTCATATTCTTGTCGTATAATTAGCTTGGCAACTTTTATATATATATATTTTTTACAAATTACACCTTTACACACGTTTGTTAATTGACAAACTAGTACACACATACATTGCAACGTGCGTGCTGTGCTATTACAACACGTTTTATGTTTCGCTGATGAAACGCATTTTGAAATATTATAACCACTGTATTCAAATGCCTGATGAAATGGCCATAACTCAAAGGGTATACAGGGTATACCACTCCCAACTCGTTTTCACATAATTTTATTATTTACTTGAGTTTGCTTCAACAATTCAATCTGATCACTTTATATTCCAACAAAATCTACTCTCGGGTCGGGCAATAATTAAAAAACGGTAAAGTGCGAAATAATAAAGTTTTTCAGTTTGTACTAATGTAATTTCGCTTAAACATTAAAAATACACTCGATTCCACTCCAAGTTGCCTAACCGACTTAGTGTCTTTTGCAGTAATTCCGGCCAACGTTGTTCATTTTTTCATGTGCACCGCCAAGTGAGTAGGTAGGCGAAATTTAATTATGAAATCGAAGAAACCAAACTTTTTGAACTGCCATAAATAAATGAGAGTACAAAAAGCGAAGGCGCCATAAACTTTGCAATACTTACTTTACTGTATACCGTAGAAATAGTGCAGTACGCTGATTAAATTACTAGAGAAGGAATTTACTCTAAAGTCTAGAGGTCATTGTGATCTTAACACGATAAGACAATTGAAAGAATTTATTTTAACACAAGTACATTCCGGAGGAAGTCTCAGTTAACCGGATCGTTGCTAAAGTCTATTTAAAAAAATTACTAATATAGAGCTGTAACATCATATAATGTCCTATAATCAGTAACGAAGTAATCAAGAAGACGAGAGACAATGTGACCACTCCATATGGGAATAAATACTCTTTTATAAGTTGTTAAACACAGCACAGTATCAGCTGTTAATTATTATAGATAAATTCAAATTTCATAGTATGATAATATTATAATACCATAACTGATAAGTAATATAATTATGTTTTGACAATCATATGGTTGCAGTAGTGAAACAAATTAAAAATATGCATTAGAAAAATGTAAATTCGTCATTCTGGTCACACTGCAGCTCGCCTCTTCGCTTACTTCATATTATCGTACTTCTTGCAACCGCTTGAACCACTTGAAGGCAATTGTAAGCCTTTCTAAATCATTGGTTCTGTATGTTAATTTTTATTGCTAATATTGTACCTATAGCAGAGAAAGAATACTTTAATAGTGTTTTCATTGATGATTGAATTATTATGTAATGACTAAACTACACTATCAAGTACATTTTCACTACTAAACTTGTGTTTAAGAAAACTCCTGAAAACATTTCTTGCTCGGTTTAAACTATAATTTTTAAGCACACTCTAGCCTTAACTATGCTTTTATCGATTTTTGTACTTTACCATGTACAGGTTTGCATCGAACAGTTTATTTTATTCTATCACTTTAAGTTATAATAATTCATAGGCTCT